TTTTTACTGATTTCTATCTTTATTTTTATTATATCTCACCTTTTATTTAATTAGGTTTAGTTTCTCTTATTTTTCTTTAAGTTTAGGCCATTGATTTTAAGCTTTTTCCAATATAAACCTTGTATTAGTTGTTTCACATCTTCACATAATTTCATAGATATCTTTGATCCATGGGTTATTAATGTTATTATTTTCCTTGCCAAACTCATTGTCTTCCTCATCTCATTTTGGTCAATAGAACTTTACCTTTCCAGTTATTCTAACCAAAACCATCCTTGACTCCTTTTTCTTATACCCCAAATTTAATGTCAAGTTCTGACATGTCTACCTTCAAAATATATCCAGAATTTGATCATTAATTCACAACTTCTATTCCTACCTTTCTGGTCCAAGTCACCATTGTCTTTTGCTTAAATTGTTGCTGCCTAAAAGGCTTCCATATTTTCAGACCTTAGGCCTGGTGGCACACTGGTTAAGAGCAACAGCTACTCAGCAAAAGGTTTGCAGCTCAAATCCACTAGCTGCTCCTTGGAAATCCTACTGGGGCAATTCTAGTCTGTCCTACAGGTTCGCTATGAGTCAGAATTGACTTGACTGCAACGGGTTTGGCTTTATCCCCCTTAATTATATTCACACAATAACTAGTCTTTCTAAAGCTTAGAGTCAGAATATGTTACTCTTCTGTTTAAATCTCTTATGGTCCTTCATGATCTACAATCTCCCCTTCCCCCTAGGTCACTGCGCTCCAGCCACACTGGCTTCCAACATGCCAGGTGGGACTGCAACCTTAGGACCTTTGCACTGGCTGTTTCCTCTGCTCAAAAGCTCTTTTCCCAGATAAATCATTGTAATTCCTGTGCACTGAGGATATCCTGAAAAATAAGCACTGTACACCAGCAAAGTTACTTCACGTATTTTACTTGATCCTCACCAGACAGGAGAGCATCCACTTTTTTTTTTTTCCTTAAAGTTTAAAAACAATGCCTAGAATCAACCTGAATACACGGAATCACTACCAAGGTGTGCCTAAGTATGGTTGTTTCAACATATTCCTTTGCTAGAATACTTCTCAATAAATTATCAAGATGCCTCTGGGCCATGGAATACCATCATCTTCAAGAGAAAATTTCACCTTCATCAGGGAGCTTCTTATTTAAAAAAGTTTTCTCCATTATACAAGTAAAAGCAGCTTTAATACCAACCAAAACCCGCTGCCATCGAGTGGATTTCCGATCCGTAGTGACACTACTGGACAGAGAACTGCCCTATAGGGCTTCCAAAGATCTGCTGGTGGATTGAAGTTGCCTACTTTTTGGTTAGTAGCCGTAGCTCTTAATCACTGCGCCACTAGGGCTCCAGCTTTAATACAGGGGGAAACAAAAGGAAAAAAAAAAAAAAACTGGGAACAATCTTTTACTATGTTGGAATTATTTTCTTACACTTTTCCACAATGTTCTTTTTAGACTAACATATCCATGTCCCTTTATAATAAACATAAATTTAACCCCAAATAGTTATATATATAGTTAAGGTACCAGTTCAGCCATTTTCTTAGCTTTTGCTATTTTGATTTTCACGAGATGAGCTTGCAGATGATAAACCGATGTATCTTAATTACCTCCATAGGTTCATTCTCAGGGGTGGAATTGCCGAATGAAAGGGTCTGAACATTTTTCGGGGTATTGATATTTACCTTTAAATGGCTTGTTAACTTAAATCTACACCCCCATCATCAATTAACAGAAATATGCAATTACAGAACTGTGAAGGTCGAGATCGAATTCAGACATCTTTATCCAGGCACCTTCATTGTACAAATAAACTTAAAAGTGAAGCCTAGCGATCTGATCCCAGAACCCAGGTCTCCTGACTTCCAGTAGCTTTCTCCCAGGACTCGATTTGTTATTAAACTGCTGGGCCATCCCTTATGAACCCACTCCACGCATTCAGAGAGCTGCTTCTTTCATCACTGGGCTCTACACTGGTCCGGGCTCCTCATCCTACTCCCGTGGAACTCGTACGTTCGAAAAGCGTAGAAAGCACCACGACCCCACCACTAGACAACACTGCGGCGACAACATCGCACACCAGAAAACTGGAAATTCTTGGACGCCCCACCACGCCCGAGTTCCGCCATGTGCTACACAGTCCGCCCCGGCAAGGCGGCCGGCTTTCAGCCCAGACACATCGAGCGAGGACGCCACACTGCGGGGCTTCTTAGGCTCAGGTCCTGCAAAGCCCAGGAACGCGGCCCTAGGTGTCCTTGGCGAACGCCAGACGCAGCAGTTTTGCCATCCTGGCAAATCCCGAGAGCGCTTGGGGGAGGCGGCAAATCAGTGCCCCTGTAGGCCAGGCCGAACGAGTCGAACGCGGAACGAGGGAGCAGGCAGAAGCCGGCGCCGGGCTGTTGTTCAGCAGGCCTGCGTTGGCTTTGGGCCGCGGGCCTCCCAGCTAGGGACTCTGCGCCTGCGCCCGCCCGGCCGCCGCTAACTCTCCCGGCGCGGCCGCGATCCCGGTGGCAGTGCGCCGCCTCGGAGTCTGGGCGATCCATGGGCAGAGGCGAGGGTCACGATGACAGATTACGGCGAGGAGCAGCGCAACGAGCTGGAGGCTCTGGAGTCCATCTACCCCGACTCCTTCACAGGTGACTTCCGCGACCGCAGACCCGCATCCGCCCCGGGGAGGACTGGGGCGGTCTGGAACTGCCCCAGCTCTCAGCGCCTGGCCGAGGTGAAGAAGGGGACAGCGAGGGCGCGCGGCCACCTCGACCGCGACTCTCCTCAAGTTCTCCCGAGTTACTTGCCGGTAACTACGGCTGTTTCCCCTTCCTCCGCTTGTTCTCTGAAATCCAAAAGTCTGGGTGACGCTGGTGAGGGCCCGGGAGAGTATCAGGTTTGGTTGAGTCGGGCGCACTTTGGTTTCTATGTAGCCTACAGCAACCCGCGGTTTAGTGAAACTAGAAAGAGAGAGAGAAACTGCAAGTGGAATTAGTGTTTCCTTCCCAGAGCCGTAAGGGTGGCAGTTTTCACATTTTTGCCTTTTTAAAGGTAGACGCTTTTATTTCGCACGGGGGTGTTAATATTTTCAAATTTTGGGAATTCAGAGTGCTGTTCTCAGAATCACCCAGAATCGGTTTTGAGAGTAGCATAACCCCTAAAGTTTGTCATTTTTTTTTTTTTTTTTTTTAATGATTTGGCATTCTGCAGAATACCTAGTGAATAATGTGTTCATTCTTAGTTTTGCTGTAGACTCATAGGTTGTTAGACTGGGAAAGACTTTAGACATAATCTAGCTTAGACTCCTCTTGTACAAACAAGGTGTTGGAGATTCAGGAAAGGTAATTAAAAACAAACAAACAAAACCGTTGCCGTCGAGTCGATTCTGACTCATAGCGACCCTATAGGACAGAGTGGAACTGCGGCTGGTGAATTCGAACTGCTGACCTTTGGTTAGCAGCCAAGCTCTTGACCACTGCATCCCCAGGGCTCCTCAGGAAAGGTAAGTGGACTGCTTTTTGTCGACGAGCGAGTTAGCAGCAAGGCTAGCGCTAAGAGTTAGGTCTGGAACTCCTTCCTGAACTTTCACCTTACAGACATGTGGGACTTGGGATCCAGCTCCAACAGGGATGAGGGGGAAGAGAGGATTACGTGGTAGGTTGAGCTAATGTAAAATATTGTTGATAATTTCATTAGGTATATTTTAAAGGAAGAGAAATTCTTTTATATCAAGCCGTGCTTGAGAAGATTCTGAAAATGCTGCAGGTGACCTTATTGATATGGCTTGTCTCTGTTTCGTTTTTGAGAAGTGATCAAATAAAACCAATATGAATAAGTAGAACCTAGGTTTGTGGGGTTTTCAGTCCCCATCCCTTCCTTTGAGTGTTGTCCATCATTGCTTGTCAGCAATTCAGAGTGTAAAGCATGTACATTAATTCATCAACTCCAACCTCTCATTTGTTTTGCTTTGCTTTCTTGACTCCACCCTTTGGCCATTGCTTGAAGTGGTGGCTATTTTCTTCTGCTTTGCCAACAGGCAGATGTCTTTCAGCTTTCCCTTTATAGATCCAGTCCTGTTCATGTTGTCTCTCGCCAGCAGTACAGCTTTGCTGTAAGGGTGTTAAGAGGATGAGGATAGAGGGGTTTGAGAGTGTCATTTTCTGGGTGAGCGTGTATGGAGTCTAGCTCCCTTCTCTCTCCTTGCTTTTATGTTGATGTCTAAATAAAACAATACAGGATACTATGTTGGATATATTCTTAATCACAACATTTGCTCATTTCTGCTACTTTGGAAATATAATAGGTATGAAGACGAGGCAGTTAAAGAAAGCATAGCACATGTCATTCTTTTCATTTCTTTGGACAGAAGGTAGCCCTCATTAAATATTGTGCCTATTAGCATTTATGAAAGTGGTACATTTTTAACTTTAAAACAATCTTATGGATCTTCGAAATTGTACTAAGCCTTGACAGCTTGGTACAGTTCAATATGTGAAATTCTATTCAGATTCACAGTGCGTGAGGATTGTGAGCCAGGGTAATAAAAGTTAATTTATGAATCTTTGATGCATTCAAGTATTCTGCAGTATCAGCTGCGCCCATCTGTCTCTAATTTCTGTCAACATTAATACAAGCTTTGAAATAAATTAAGATAAAGTGTCTTGATTTGTAATTCTTAGGGAACTTTGCCTTACTCATGATCCTGTTCTTTATGAAACCTCTCAAGGAATAGGCAGAGGGCTTTGAAATGAAATGTTTCCATGTTTGATCTTCTGAAATCTTGAGGATTTGCAAGGTTTGCTGTTTTATAACCTTCTTTTGTGTTTGAGATTCCATGCTTTTATATCCTCATGCTAGGTTTAAGAAAGAGAGCTTGTTGCATCAGTTTGCTAATTTCATCTTTAATCACATTTAATGTAAGATTCTGGTAAATGCTCAGTGTAGTAGAATACTTTTTTTTTTTTTTTAATGGGTGGCTGAGCCCTTCACAAAGAAGCCTATGTTTAGCACATCATGATCCTATGTGGATGCTGAAAAGGCACAGTCTGCCCGATAGACATAGTCACATAGACCTAGCCTAACTTCAGAATTAATTGCTTAACTATTTGCAAAGAACCTTTGGTCCAATGTTGCATTCATTGTGAATTATAACAAATCATAATGCAGTTTCTTCTTTTTGCCTGTTCTGTAGTTTGATTCTACATTGACCCAACTCTCCTAACAACTAGACTTGCAGAATAAAAATAGACTCTCCTGATCCCACATTCTGTTTTAGTAGTGCTTCACTTGACAAGGTCATCCTACAGTAGTAGAATTTGGTTATTTCCATTTCTGTATCAGAGTCTCTGGCTATAGGCAGTTTTGCTGGAACTCTTTGGTTGGTATCAGGCTAGCCAAAAGCCAAGTTCCCATAATTCTGTTTTACAAAGAGAGGTTCATAATCTTATATTTGTGTCAGTACCTGTAAGTAGCAGCCATGAGCATTTAACAGTTATAATTTCATCTTAGAGGCGGGGCTGAAGTCATCTTGTGGAAGCAGTTTTTCTAAGACATACCTTTTGAAAGACAGACACTCCCTGAGAAACAAAGAGACTTACTTTACTATAGACTTTCTGGTTCTTTGTGAAAACCTTACGGTTGTTTCTGTGTGCCCTTAGCATATCTTCTAGCACTGCTTCCATTGTCCCTGCTCTTAACAAAATTCTTAATTCTTCTCAGCTCACCACCACCTGCCCCTGTATCACCTAACACCTCTCCTGCCCTCCCAACAATCTTCCTTTTTTCCTCAAAAGTACTTTGAGCTAACTCATAATGGCAGAAATCTGGCATTCTCCTTTGTGAAGGCTGGTGGCACAACGGTTAAGTGCTTGGCTACTAACTGAAAGGTTGGCGGTTCGAATCCACCAGCTGCTCCATGGGAGAAAAGACTTGGTGATCTGCTCCCATAAAGATTAAAAACCAAAAAACAAACCTGTTGCTGTCAAGTCGATTCCCACTCATAGTGACCCTATGGGACAGTAGAACTTCCCTGTAGGGTTTCTAAGGCTGAAATCTTTACAGAAGAAGACTGCCACGTTTCTCCCACTGAGCAGCTGGTAGTTCAAACCACTGACCTTTCAGTTAGTAGCTGAGCACCTAACCGCTGCACCACTAGGCTCCTCCCCATAAAGATTATATCCTAAGAAGGCTTATGAGGCAGTTCTGCTCTATCACATTCGGTCGTATGGAGTAAAAAACTGACTGGATGGCACCTAATATAACAGCAACACAATCATTACTTATTCCCTTCACAGTAATGTGCTGGAATGGGATTATTCCTCCATCAGAACTCAGGCTTCATTCATCTTTGCAAGTCCAACTAAGTAATTCCAATCCCTACTTTAGCTACCTCCAAGCTTTGGAATATTCTTCCTTCCATTTTTTTTTAGTATCAGGGTCAGCTGTGATAGAAAACCCCAACTAATAGTGGTGTTTGGAGCCCTGGTGGTGCAGTGGTTAAGAGCTTGGCTGCTAACCAGAAGGTCAGCAGTTCAAATCCACCAGCTGCTCCTTGGAAACCCTATGGGGCAGTTCTACTCTGTCCTATAGGGTCACTAGGAGTCGGAGTCACCATCTTAGATTCCTCTCAGCTCCTTGCCAGTCCCATAGCTGCCACCCAAGTTCTGAACCTTATTACCTTTTGCTTGGACTATTCCAATAGCTGTCAGTTTCATCCTGCCTTATTTCTCTCTTTACATTTTATTTAACATAGCTAGATTTATTTTCTTTTATTTGGAAGTACAATTCTGACCATATTATTGTTGCTGTGTGCTGTTGAATTGATTCCAACTCATAGTGACCCTATATGACAGAATAGAACTCTAGGCTGTAATCTTTAAGGGAGCAGACCGCCAGGTCTTTTCTCCGCAGAGGTGTTAGGTGGTTTCGACTGCTAACTTTTGAGTTAGCAGCCAAGTGCTTAACCACCAGGGCTCCTTTCTGACCACATTACTGCTACTGAAAAAATGATCATTGTCCACAACCAAACTTTCAGCTAGCATTTCTTCACATGCACATGGGTCCACCAAACTGAATAGTTTGTTATTCCCTATTAAAAAAATAAACAAACAAACATTGCCATCGAATCACTTCTGACCTATAGTGACCCTGTAGAACAGAGTAGAACTGCCCTATAGGGTTTCCAAGGCTTTCAATCTTTACGGAAGCAGATTGCTGCAAGTTTCTCTAGTAGAGTGGCTGGTGGTTTCGAACCACCAACCTTTTGGTTAGTTATTCCCTATACATTCCTTAAATTTTCCACCATTTTACCCTTGCTGATGGAGTACCTCACCTATAGTCTCTTTCACCATCTCTATTTGTCAATAACCAGTTACCATCGAGTTAGTTCTGATTCATGGCAACGCCGTGTATGTCGGAGTAAAACTGTGCTTCATAGAGTTTTCAGTGGCAGATTTTTCAGAAGTGGGTTGCAAGGCCTTTCTTCTGAGGCACCTCTGGGTAGACTCAAACTGCCAACCTTTTGTTTAGCAGCCAGTTGTATTAACTGTTTGCATCACCCAAGGACTCCACTTGCCAGTAAGCTGCCTATAATTCACAGCCTAGCTCTGTTGACTTTGCTGGAATCTCTCAGCTGGAAATACATTTTTTAAATAAAACTCTACAGTTTATTCAGTTCTGGCACTTACCTACTGTGTAGTCTTGGGCAGATTATTTAAAAGCTCCGTGTCTCAGTTTCGACATCTGTAAATAATTGGAATGATGCTGTATTTCATTCTAAGACACATTTGTTTCACATAAAGTAGATGTATCTCATACTTGAGGGCATCTTAAATTTGGTGAAATATGGCAACAGTGTAAGATCATGATCTTGGCGTGCAAACTAAAAAATCTTCATGTAAATGCATAGCACAATCACAGGGAAATAAATAAATAATGCTCATTGAATGTTATCTGTTGTTATTGGGTATAGATGACCCCTGGCTTATAACTTAATGGAGTTCTAGAAAATGGTCACAAGTTGGGGTGTTGTTGGGTTGAACCCATATTTCTGTAGTTGCAATTTACATTTCATGACATGTAAATGCTAACATTGATCAGGAAAAGAAATAATGAAATACAACAAATATATCTTATACACATTTGTTTAAAAAACAAAACAAAACAGGTAAAGCCAATCATAAAAGGTTTATTAAATTTAGCTTTCAAAGGCTTTTTCAGTATGGGCTGGACTGCCTGAGCCAAACCCAAAACCAAAGCCATTGCCATTGAGTCGATTTCAACTCACAGCAACCCTATAAGGACAAAGTAGAACTGCCCCATAGGGTTCCCAAGGCTGTAATCTTTACAGAAGCAGACTGCCGCATCTTTCTCCAGCGGAGTGGCTGGTGGGTTAGAACCGCCAACCTTTTGGTTAGCAGCTGCTGAGTGCTTAACTTTGCTACCAGGCCTCGTTGGACTGCCTGAGAGGCCTATTAAAATGTGAGTACAGTGAGTAACGTTTCTTACATCTTCCTGGCAAACACCTTTTTGGTAATCATAGGTGTTCATCATTGCTTCAGATACTTTTAATTTCAATTAAAATGAAAGCATCTATCTAGAAAATTTTATTGGTAATGAATATGAAGGCTTTGAAAGTTCCTAAAAACCAGATAGTTTCCATGGTGACAACTTCAGTGATCCTTTGCTCTTTCGTTTCAGAGTCCAGAGCTGCTGCCACCTTGACAGGTGCTAGTGCTTCCCAGGCATGGAGTGAAGCATAGACTCATTAGGCTTAGCAGCAGTCACCAATGGCTTGACGTTTCCTTGTTTACTCTTCTAATGGTCCTTTCCTTTCCTTTCCTTTGTTATTGTTTCTCTCCTTTAATCCATTAATTTATCTTCTTTTATTGAGCCAATATTTATCAAGTTTCTAGATACAGCCAGATACTGATCTAGGAGCTCTCATACAGTTTTTTAGTATTCTTGTGGGAAAATAGATAATAGATAGATACATAGTATCAGGTAGACATCAGGCTGTAAATGATATATAAAGCTTTCTTATTTGGTTTACATGTCTTGTCTTGCCTATTAAACTGTTTGGATTCATAGCCAGTTCATTTTTTAATTCCATAAAAGATGGTAGTGGCTCATTAAGTATTTGTGAAAGAGTAGAGTTTGGTCTCAGAGATGATGTCAGAGAGAGATAATAAGAAGATGACACAAACTCTTAAAATAATATTTACGTTTGTTAGGGAGATTCTGAGGTATAAATTTTAAAATTACAATACTGAATATCAACGGTTTAGTTCTGATTAGAAACATCGAATTCTTATTTGTTTACTCCACTTGGGATTTTTTTAGAATTATAATTTTCCATATATAAATGGAGATATTGAAATAAAATGTAAATTATTTAATTATTGATTTGATAAAACTGCAAGAAGATATCTACCATAGATACTTCTTTACAGATTAAGGGCAACCCTAGATTTAAATAGTACATCGATGTACATTTTATAATGTAAATGTTCTGTTCAGTCTGTATTTGTAGACATGGAAATACAGGCTAGGAACCAGTTTCTAAGACTGAGTAGTGGTATGTTGGTAATAAGAAAGAAGCATCTGCCTTAGGAAGCATCTTAATGACTTAATCTCTACGTATTTTTTTTACAGTATTATCAGAAACTCCACCCAGCTTCACCATTACTGTGACATCTGAGGCTGGAGAAAATGACGAAAGTAAGTGTTAACCAAAAATACTCATGATTTTCCCAAGCTTCTCTGTCAGGAGTTTCACTCATTCTTTAGGCATTGTGCTGAGCATTGCAGGTGTGGAGGTACTAAGGTGCTATTAAGTGTGGTTCCAGTCAATACTTATTGTGTAAACATGAGTCTTAGAGAAATAGGAAGTCAATGAGATATATTCTGGCACAATAAGCTTATTTTTTTTTAAAGCAGAAACAGAAATATTAATACAGCAGATGGAGAAAAAGTAGGAGATATTTGTCCAGAAACAGGACTTTGCATGTAAACATGTTTCAGTGGTGGTGTGGTATTCTACTGAGCAGCTGTTATTTTTTTACATAACTTTTTCTCTTTGGATAGATTATTTATAGGGCATTTGCTGTTATAAATGTGCCTGGAAAAACACCTATGTGCATGCCTTTCTCTCTTTAGGGTGGATATTATGCCAGTATTATTTAAATAAATAAAAACATAAAACCAGATAAAAACAGCTATTATACAACTGCAGAACCAAGACAAATGTACAAATTGAAATAAAGGAGCAATTGTATAATAGCTATACAACCAATAAAGAAGCCCTGGTAGTGCAGTGGTTAAAGTGCTCAGCCGCGAACCAAAATGTCAGTGGTTCGAACCCACTAGCCACTCGGTGGGAGAAGGATGTGGCAGTCTGCTTCCATAAAGATTACAACCTTGGAAATGCTATGAGGCAGTTCTACTCTTGACATACAGGGTTGCTGTGAGTCAGAATTGACTTGACGGCTATAGGTTTGTTTTATACAACCAATAAGTTAAAATTATAAGTTAATTTAAATGCGGCAGATATTGTTGGAGGATCATAGGTTCAGTTCTAGTTTTAATCCAGTTCTTTTTTTATAATTTATTAATAATACTATAATTTTATTTAAAAACTATGTGAATTGGTATTAACCGCAAGGATTTTTTTCTCCTCCTTTATGCTAGTCAACCAGAATTTTGCCATGAGTACTCAGCAATAGCCAGTTTCATTCGTATCCCTTAAAAAACTCTAAATCTGTCTTCTACAAATGAAAATGAGACTATTTTGAGATATTCTTAAAATCTGAAATAGAAGTATAGTAAGTACAGCTATATACTTCTAAATAGGTATCCGATATTGCAGGTTGATACCTAAAAAAAATTTTGTAATACATTAAAGCACAAAATAAATATTTTACTGGCTGCTCTTCAAACTATTGAAAACTTCCCTTTGTAAACAAGCCTATGTCATCATTTGGGCTTCATATGATGCCATTATGGGTGTTGAAATGGTGTGACAGTGCTCATTTATAAAATAATCCAGAATATAATTTTCCTTAAGATTACATTGAAATGAAAAATAAAATTACAAAGTTTCTAGAGAAAGCTCCCATATTCTTAATATCTTTATAGTTCATCATCTGAAGTTTGAGAAGTAGTTTTTAAATTATTTCTTTAGAACAAATTCCTAGATTGTACTAATTATTTTTGCACCAAAATGTTATTTTAATGAGCCCACCCGTAGAAAGGTGAAAAAGGACATAGACGTACAATCTCTAAAAGTAGAAATATAAGCGGTTATTAAAAATAAATAATTAGAGGTGGGGCCAAGATGGTGGAGTAGTCAGAAGCTTCCGGTGGACCCTCTTAAAACAAAGACCCAAAAAAACAAGTGAATCGATTATATATGACAGTCTAGGAGTCCTGAACATCAAAGGCAAAGTTGAGGAACTGGACTGAGCGGCAGGGGGAGGGAGAGATGGTTCGGGCGCAGCGAGGAGTTGCCAGATCTGACCCCGTGAGAGCCTAAGCCCTTCAGACCTGATCAGGTCATGGGTGAGCAGCGAGGCAGGCAAGCAGCCGTGCTTGGGAGGTGTTTTCCGCACCGGGAGAGACCCAACAGCATAGAGTCTACTCAGCCACCCAGAACCAGTGAGAAGCAGCCGTCAATCAGTGAAGGATAAGTACTTGCGTCCGGCCTACTGCATGGAACAAAAATACTTACCTTAGGGAAAAACCTCTCTCCCATTTACCTCCCTGCTCCCTGCTCTGCACTGGGCCCCAGACCGGCTTCAGCAACTGCTGAATACCGTGGGCCAGAAGTAGGATCCATCACACGCACTGAGCTATTCTCTAGGTCTTAGAGAGTGAACAAATTAACAAATGGAAAAAAATAAACTGCCAGCTCCCCTAAGCCAGGAACTCAGGGTAGGCACAACTCCTTTGCCTATGCACAGGCGAAAGGGATCCACGGACTTTGAGTGCCTTTCATCCTGCATAGACTTGTGCGGGCCCATTTAAACAGCGTAGGCTCTCATTACCACAGTACAACAGGGTAGATACCTGAAGTCTGGCTTCAGCTGTCAGCTGTGAAGTGGCAGGTTCTTGACATTTGACACTGCTCTGCGCATTAAGCAAGGTCTTTACCTACCCACATCAGAGGCCTGAGGACTAGTGGCTCCACCCACGCCACCTAGCCACCTGCGACAGGGGCCCAAAAATAAGAGGTGCCCCCCAGTCCTTACAGCCAACAGCATCAGGTGCTCATAATCCGGCTGCAAAACCCACTCACCTAGGCGCTCTAGGAAACGGACACGCCTTCCTCCTGGACACTCGAGGGCAGCCATCAGCCCCCTGCCTTGCTCAGAGTGTGTCCCCCTACTGCAGCCAGATGCCTGTGCCTACACCAATCACCCATTCCTGTTTAGGACTATAGGTGAGAGCCTGCAGCACACACTTGGTGGCTATCTACCTGGGCACCTGAGCTAAATCCATATAGGAGGAGTGGGTGGACTCCTGAGCTCACACACCTAGTAACAGATCTAATCACCTGGTGACAGGACATTAAAGCTTCAAAAGTGCCAATTATCAAACTATCTCACATGAGCAGCCTATTTGGGCATATCAAAACAAAACAAGAAGCTAGGACACATTAAGCAAACATAAAATAAATAAATACAGTAACTTATTGATGACTCGGAGACAACAGTCAATATCAAGTCATGTAAAGAGGCAGTCCATGATGGCTTCAGCAAGCTCCCAAAAAATCTAGAAATTTTCCAGAGGAGGAAAATTTCTTGGAATTACCGGAGGCAGAATACAAAAGATTAATATACAGAACTCTTCAAGAGTTTAGGAAGGAAATTAAGCAAAATGCAGAACGTGCAGTAGAGGAAATTAAAAAGATAGGAGCATAATGACAGATTTAACAGGCTGCAAGAATCCAATCAGAAATCCAGAAGATTAATAAAATGTCAGAATTAGACAACTATATAGAAAGTCATAGGAGCAGAAATGAGGCAATGGAAGTTAGAATTAGTGAGTTTGAAGATAAAGCACTTGACTCCAACTTATTTGAGGAAAAATCAGATAAAAAGATTAAAAAGAAGAAGAAACCCTAAGAATTATGTGGGACTCTGTCAAGAGGAATAACCTATGATTGGAGTACCAGAACAGGGGGGATAACAGAAAATACAGAGAGAATTGCTGAAGATTTGTTGGCAGAAAACTTCTCTGATACTGTGACAGATGACAAGATATCTATCCAAGATTCTTGTCGAACCCCACAGAAGGTAGATCCCAAAAGAAAATCACCAAGACATATTGTAATCAAGCTTGCCAAAACCAAAGATAAAGAGAGTATTTTAAGAGCAGTTAGGGATAAACAAAAAGTCAAAGGAGAGTCAATAAGACTAAGCTCAGACTACTCAGCAGAAACCATGCAGGCAAGAAGGCAATGAGATGACATATATAAAGCCTTGAAAGAAAAAAATTGCCAGCCAAGAATTATATATCCAGCAAAAGTGTCTCTCAAATATGATGGCAAAGTTAAGGCATTTATAGATAAACAAGTTTAGGGAATTAGCAAAAACCAAACCAAAATTACAAGAAATACTAACGGGAGTTCTCCAGGGAGAAAATCAGTAACATCAGATCACAAGCCAAGACTAGAACACAGGACAGTGCAACCAGATATCAACCCAGACACGGAAGTCACAAAAATAAAGCTAAAACACTGAAAATAGGGAAACAGATGTCAATATGTAAAAGTTGACAACATTAAAACAAAAGACGGGCTAAACAATGTAGACATAGATTTTTCATATGGAGAGGAAGTCAAGGTGATATAAAGAAATAAAAGACTGGTATAAACTTAGAAAAATAAGGGTAAATATTAAGGTAACCACAAAGGAAACTAACAATCCTACAAGTCAAAATAAACTACAAAAACAAAGACTCAGCAAACACAAAATCAACAACAGTGAAAAAGATGAAAAGAAGATACATAAAGAAAAACAATGCAGCACAGAAAATTTAAGTGGAACAAAGAAACTGAACAACACACAAAAAAAGACATCAAAATGGCAGCACTAAACTCACACCTATCAATAATTACGCTGAATGTAAATGGACTAAATGCACCAATAAGGAGACAGAGAGTGGCAGATTGGCTAAAAAAACGTGATCCGTCTATATGCTTCCTGCAAGAGACACACCTTAGACTTAAAGACACAAACAAAAACTCAAAGGATAAAAAAAACATATATCAAGCAAACGACACTCAAAAAAGAGCAGGAGTGGCAATATTAATTTCTGACAAAATAGACTTTAAAGTAAAATCCACAATAAAGGATAAGGAAGGACACTGTATAAAGATTAAAGGGTCAATATACCAGGAGGACATAACTATAATAAATATTTACCCGCCCAACGACAGGCCTCCAAAATACATAAACTCTAACAGCATTGAAAAGGGAGAGAGACAGCTCCACAATAGTAGTAGGAGACTTCAACATGCCACTTTCGGTGAAGGAGAGAACATCCAGAAAGAAGCTCAACAAAGACATGGAGGATCTAAATGCTACAGTCACCAACTTGATCTCATAGACATATACTGAACACTCGACCTAACAGCAGCCAAGTCTACTTTGTTTTCCAGAGCACATAGAACATTCTCCAGAATAGACCACGTATTAGGCTATAAAGCAAGCCTTAAC